CAATTTATGCAAATAGCAAACAGAAGAAGTGTTTCCAAGTGTTTCAGAAGAGCATCAATATCCTCCGAGCCTCATTCTCCCAATCTCAAATCGGAAGTATTTGATCAATATCAGTATTCCATTATTAGAAATACTGAAATTTCTCTTGCCTCTACCGCAGCTCTTCTTGAAAGTATTTTCTGGAACATTTACTGCAGTTTAAAGCTCTGCTTTTGCATATCTGTATCTGTATGCTGTATGAATCTGTATGCAGTATGAATCTGTATGCGTGTGTTTATCTGTATCTGTGAGTCTGCCGCTGTTTTGTTGCTTGCAATTATTTACAAAAATCCAGCAGCCAAGCCAAGCCGCCAGCAGCAGCAAACAAAAACAACAAACGTAAATTGAAAACAGGTTTTTTTTATTTTGTTTTTGTTTCGTTTAAAAACTGAAAACATTGAAACCTCTTTTGTAGAGCGTTTTTATCATTGAATTTGTTGTTGTTGCTGTTGTTTTTTTATCATACGACTACGTGTCCGTGTACGTGTGCTTGTGTGTAGTATTTTTTATGGGTTAAACTCCAAAATTTCTGTGGAGAATGGAGAGTGTGGGGAGAGAAATGCATTCAAAGCAAATTGTTAAATGCTGCGCTTATCAGCCAAGAGTTAATTGCAAAATACTTCTCTACCATTCTCTCGCATCTATTTCGTGGCCTATTTCGCACTCTCCCACCCCAACCCAACCCACACACACCCAAACGTGACTCTTGGCGGTTAACGGTTTGAGACTTTGACGATTGACGTGTGACCATAAATGGGGGAAAAAAAAATAGAGAAAAAATGGAAAAAACAGAGCACCACAAAATGATTAAGCAAATGAGTGTAGTGCTAGACTCGTACTTTTCGTTTTATGTACCCTAACAAATTATGGAGGGTATTATGACTTCGGAACAGATGTTTCGTAAAGCAGAGAACAAAGCAGAGTGGCACTTCCGACCCTATATATGTATGTATACGTGTATAAATGTATGTAATCTACAGAATCCACAGTCACGTGGCTATAGAAACATTCAGCTGTTCACAAGGCGTCCCTCAATTTTAGCAGAATTTCCAATGAAACGTTTCTCAGGGGCCCTTCCATTGCTCACCCGGAACTGTTAGGATCGTACCAATATATATTCGTATTCGATCGTCTATATTACATAGCTTAGCAAAGAAAAATCGATGAAAAACGAGCGTTTCTTTGAAAATCTTTGATAATGCTGTTGCTGTAGCTGTAGCTACTGTTGAGGGGAGACTATATGATATAGGCTAATCATACACATACATATACAATATATGTATGCATATTATAGGAATAACCGATATGCAATGAGGAGCATCTGCAGTTTTCGTAGTTTTTCTGTTGTTGTTTCTCTTGCATGATAATTTTTATAATATCTTTGCAAATGAAAGTATCGGCTGTGTGGGTTGAGTAGAGCGACGGAGCACTTATATTTTGTGGTTTTTTTTGCGACCTGGAATTATGAAACAAATTAACAAAAAACATATACAAAAAAACCATTCAACAATTTCGCTTTTTCTTTTGTTTTAAAAGTGGAACAACAATAAAATCAACAGAAAAAATATAAAAAAATAAACAGTGGGGGTAGGCATTAATATGTATTTTGTTGTGATGTAATTAGGTTTCAGTGCCGCCTCCACACCTGCAATCCACTCTTCTCTTTCCCACCTCTACTCCACTCCTCTCACTATCACTCTCTCCGTTTCTCTATTTAAATTGCCATCAGTACTAGCAAGCACGTGCCCACCCTACACCTGATTTCCATATAACGCTTTACTGATCCGCTTTTGATTGCATTTTAATTGTGTTAGATTTTATGATCCATTTATGATGATCCTTTTATGCGTATTTTTATAGTATTTAGATTCACTTTTAATCTTATTTCTATTCCCTTCTTGTGCTTGTGCTGAATTTCCCGCGTATAGGCCGCCTACATGATTGTCGATGAGATGCACGAGGAGCATCCGGAGCTGCTGCGGGACCAGTACTGGGAGTGTGTTGTGCCCAAGGACCTGCCCTACACCGTGGCCTCTGAGCACTACCGCAAGGACGAGCCCAAAGGATCCGCCGAGAAGTACAAAGTGAAGAAGGAGGACGCAATGTACGCCAACATAATGCCAGGCGGCGGCGGAGGCAAGCGAATGCTCAGCGACGACGTCTATGCGGATTATGTGAGTACCACAAATGGAGCTCCCAACTAGAGCATATACCCTAAAAATACCCTGTAAATTCTGCAGGAGAGTGTCGACACGCCCATGGTGGAGCGCAGGAAGAACAATTGGCTCGTGCGGCAGCTGTCGCGCATGGGTTCGATGAGGAGCCAATCGACGGCCTATTCCTCGGGCGGTATGCCCTTCAATCGGCATCGCCTCAATTCTGTTTACTCCAGCCCGGAGTCGGGACTCCCCCTGACGATCCTGCAGCAGCAGCAGCTGCAACAGCAGCAGTCAATGGGGGGATCCCAGTCACAGCAAAAGCCGAGCCTCTATGGCAAGTTTGTGCATCGGAAATCGATACGCGCCCAAAGGCAGTTGATAAAACAAAGTGAGTATCTGACAGATACAAGATACGAAAGTGTATCCCGAAAGTATGCAAAACAAATTAATGAACTTTTATTCGTTAGATTCAAAGCTGAATGGCTTGAATGTTAATGTGGCCAAGACGCGGCCGCGCATTCCCACTCCCGAGGTGACCAAAGATGGCAACACGAATCCAGGTAAGTGGCATGCCTCGCCCGATCTCTCTCTCTATTTCTGTTTGTTGCACCCACTTATGCACCATATGTATATCGTGTATCCACTGTAGCCTCTAGTGCCGTTATAATGGCACCATCACAACACCAAAGCACACCGCAGCAGCTGCCACAGGGTGGTGGTGGAGGGGCGCACCACATGTATCCCTCCTCCTACACCACAACGAGCACCAGTACGGGAATGGGCATGGGAGGGGGCATGGGCATGGGCTTGGGCATGGGCATGGGCATGGGAGGGGGCATGCAACTGGGACACGATGGCGGTGGCCAAGTGCTGGGCACCCTCCTCCTGTCGCCCATCAAAGAGATGGACTCATCCTCATCGAATAACACTCTGATTCCAGGACATCCAGCCACAGCGGCCCTGGCGCAGGCCATCAACATGAAGGATGGCTTCCCAGCAGTAAGCAGTAAGTCCCAGATACAGATACTCCATCTCGCAGATACTCCAACTACAACTACAATCTCCCTTCGATTCCTTAGCTCTTTCTGCTGCCACAAACATCACGACGCTGTCGTTTCCCTTCACGATGGCCAACAGCAACGGCGGCGGTGACACCATACCCACGGGCACCCTGAGCATCCTGCCCATCACAGCGAATGCCCAGCTGCCGACCATCACGACGACAGCCAGTGGCTATGATCCCAATGATGTCATCACCACGATCCCCGTATCGCTGTCGATTCAGCGCTCTCCTTCATCCCTGTCCATTGTGGATCTGGCACAGGACCAGGACGGCTACAGCAACAGTGGCTCCAGCAATGGCATGAATGTTGGGCCAGGTGGTGGCATCACCACCACGGCCCTACTGTCCGTAAAGCCTTTGAATGGCAATGGCAACATTTCGCGGAACAACAGCTTTAATCTGAGCTTTAATCTGCAGGATCCCACAGTGCGTTCTTCGGTGCGTTCAGCAGGACCCACCACAGATACAGTGGATACATCATCCACCTCATTGGGAGGAGCCACGATCCCCTTGCCACAGAATACAGCGGCAAGTGCCTCTTCGGCACCCTCAACGCTCGCCAAACACAGTCCCGAGGCCAAGACGGGAGAGGTCTATGTCTGAGAGGAGGATGACAGGAGATCCATTGGATTATAGCTTTCGTTGTAGATTTAAGCACCCTTCCAGAACCACTTATACGATATTATCATCTATCAAAAAAAAAAATAGGGAAAAGAATCCTCTGTTTGGATTTGTATATACCGCCCACATAGATAAAGAATCGTTAGAATTATTCTTCACGAGTATTTCTCGATAACTACGATTAAATTACGAGTTAATTTCCACACAGAAAGAATCTCCTCCACTCTGTGACCCCCGTGTAAACACTAAACCGTGTAAATAATTTGGAAAGACCCCCCAAAAAAACACAATATGTGATATGCGATTATTGTATGTTTTCTTTCAAGCTATAAATCTTTGTGTATCTTTAGGATTAAGCGAATTCCATTCTACGGTAGTGTAGCATACAGATCTAGGAAATTCTAGGTTCTTTTTGTACAGATACAGATGAAAGATGATGAAGTGGCAGGGATGCGTAAGAGCTGCTGCTATTTTAATTTTTAATTTTAAACTGAAATAAAATCCAATTTACTTAACAAAAGGAAAAGATGTTTCAAGGTGGTATGGAAACACGAATATTTCTCGATAGTTGAGCGAATAAATTTCGAATGAATTTCCATACAGAAATAATTTTTTATAAAGCATCTCCTGCGAAATATATGGATAATTTACACCCGTGAATTATTCCGTGAATAAAGCTGTTTAATTCGCTTTACAAATGTTCCCATAACCGAATGGATATGGAAGGAAAACAGAAACACCATTTGACAGAAGAGATACCAGATGTTTCGACAATAGAATCCCAAAGATATCTATTTTGCATAAAAATCAGGATTTCTGGGTGAAATATCGAATGTTAGATCCCAATGGAACCTCCAAGAATACGCCACAAATGATTAAATATACTGCCAATGGAACGCTCGTATAGAAAAGCAACAAAGAGACAGAATGTCTCTTTTTTCTCTTTTAAATGAAAGAGATTCTTTCGACGGAACCTACCCCAAGAGCGGAAAGCGGAGATCAATTAGAATTGTGAACCCCAAGCGAACGATTGATACGATACACTCATGAGTGGCCATCCACATTGGAATATACATAAATGGGTGGCTCCGTGGACGCTGGTCCATCAGTCGCGCTTGGGCGATCCGAGCGAGCGGTAACTGAATCTTCAGTTCAGATCTTCAGAAAAAATCAGTTCACAGATACAGTATCTGAAGGATAAAAAGTGTTCAAAAATCAATTAAAAGGTGAATATCCCACGCTGAGTGGGGAGGTGAGATGTATCTATAAATGGAATCGAATCGAAGCCTCCCCAAATTGGCGTTGGAATGTGCGATGGTGTCCAATAATAAAAGTTGATTCTATTACTCGTTAACCCCGCGGGTCAATAAAAGAGAACTATGAGCAAATAAGATACAAAGTATCTGCGTGTACCCTTGCCACAGATACAGATACTCGTGTACTCGCGTACTGCCTGCTGTCTCTCAAGAGTGTGGCGGCAGTAATTTAATTAACCTTTGCGTGCCGTCTGTCTGTGAATAAATCTCTTGCTGCCTTAAAGATCGAGTAATACTCTCCCCCTCCCCTTCTGATAGATGGATGAGGCATCTGCCACAACCACAACCGATGGCAAGTCCCTGGATGAGGCACCCGTGGCCGCAGGACTGGAGCCTACGCAACCCATCGGCTTCCTGCAGCTATTTCGCTTCTCCACCTGCGGGGAGATTGCGTGGCTCTTCTTTGGGTTCATCATGTGCTGCATCAAGGCCCTGACCCTACCCGCTGTGGTCATTATTTACAGCGAATTCACATCGATGCTGGTGGATCGTGCCATGGAGATCGGGACGAGCTCAAAGGTTCATGCATTGCCCCTGTTTGGGGGTGGCAAGACGCTGTAAGTGCGGGATACATGCTGCCTCAAGAAAGCCCTCTAGAGCTCTCTCTTTTCGTGCAGCACAAATGCAACACTGGAGACCCGCAATGCGGCCCTGTACGATGACTCCATCTCGTATGGCCTTCTGCTGACCATCGCATCGGTGGTGATGTTCATTGCTGGCATCTTTTCGGTGGATATCTTCAATGTGGTGGCCCTGCGGCAAGTCTCTCGCATGCGCATCATGCTCTTCACCTCAGTGATGCGGCAGGACATTGGCTGGCACGATTTGGCCAGCAAACAGAACTTTGTCCAGAGCATGGTCGAGTGAGTGACGGCAGATCCTTCATCCTCACTGATTCACATACCTTTTTCCCCGCCCCACCCCCTTTCAGTGATGTGGAAAAGATACGCGATGGCATCTCCGAGAAGGTGGGACACTTTGTGTATCTGATTGTCGGGTTCATCATCACGGTGGCCATATCCTTCAGCTATGGCTGGAAACTCACGCTCGCAGTCAGCTCCTACATTCCCCTCGTGATTCTCGTGAATTATTATGTAGCCAAGGTAATTCCCAGAAGCCCACCTTAACCCAAAGCTACACAGATACATTTGTATCTTTTCTTAGTTCCAAGGAAAACTCACAGCCAGGGAACAGGAATCGTATGCGGGTGCCGGAAATCTCGCCGAGGAGATCCTCAGTGCCATTCGCACGGTCGTATCCTTTGGCGGGGAGAAAGCGGAGGTCCAGCGCTACGAGAACTTCCTGGTGCCCGCACGGAAGGCGAGTCAGTGGAAGGGCGCTTTCTCGGGCCTCAGTGACGCCCTCCTCAAGTCTATGCTGTATCTGTCGTGTGCGGGCGCCTTCTGGTACGGCGTCAATCTGATCATCGATGATCGTGGTGTGGAGGACAAGGAGTACACTCCAGCAATCCTGATGATCGCCTTCTTTGGCATCATTGTGGGGGCGGATAACATCGCCAGGACGGCGCCCTTCCTCGAGTCGTTTGCCACCGCCCGGGGATGTGCCACGAATCTCTTCAAGGTCATCGATCTCCAATCCAAGATCGATCCTCTGTCCACCGATGGAAAACTCCTCAACTACGGCCTGCGGGGCGATGTGGAATTCCAGGATGTCTTCTTCCGTTATCCCTCCCGTCCCGAAGTCATCGTCCATCGGGGACTAAACATCCGGATACGAGCGGGGCAGACGGTTGCTCTGGTGGGCTCCTCGGGATGTGGCAAGTCCACGTGCGTGCAACTTTTACAGCGGTTCTACGATCCCGTCTTTGGCTCCGTGCTGCTCGACGACCTGGACATCCGCAAGTACAACATCCAGTGGTTGCGCTCCAACATCGCGGTGGTGGGTCAGGAGCCGGTGCTCTTCCTGGGCTCCATTGCCCAAAACATCAGCTACGGAAAGCCCGGCGCCACACAGAAGGAGATCGAGGCGGCTGCCACACAGGCGGGGGCACACGAATTCATCACGGGACTGCCAGAGGTGAGTGGAGCGGCACTGCTATCCCCCTTCTGTAACCCCCCCTTCTCCCTTCCCACAGAGCTATCGCACAATGATCGGAGAGCGGGGATCCCAGCTCTCGGGCGGGCAGAAGCAGCGCATTGCCATAGCGCGGGCCCTCATCCAGCAGCCGAAGATCCTGCTGCTGGATGAGGCCACCTCCGCGTTGGACTATCAATCGGAGAAGGAGGTGCAACGGGCCCTGGATTTGGCCAGCAAGGGACGCACCACCATTGTGGTGTCGCATCGTCTGTCTGCGATTCGAGGCGCCGACAAGATTGTCTTCATTCAGGATGGCAAGGTCCTGGAGGAGGGCTCCCACGATGATCTGATGACGCTGGAGTCCGCTTACTACCGCATGGTGCGTGCCGGGGATATTAAAATGCCCGATGAGGTGGAAAAGGAGGAGGGGGAGGAGACGACCATCGATGCCAAACGTAAGCAGGGGGGAAGGAGAGAGGCAGCTCCCAGTTAGGCACTCAGAATCCTTTCTCAATCTCTTTTCCATAGGCAAAAGCCTTGCGCTCCTTGAGAAATCCTTCGAGACGAGTCCTTTGAACTTTGAAAAGGCCACCCACAAGGAAAACAGCGTGCAGTTCGACGAACCCATCGTGAAGCACCTGCCCAAGGACAAGGACACCAATGCCATCAAACTGCGGGACGCTGCCACAGCCGCAGAGAAGCCCCATTTCTTCCGCACATTCGCGCGGATCGTGCGCCTGTCCCGCCCCGAATGGTGCTACCTGATCCTTGGCACAATCAGCGCCATTGCCGTTGGCTGCCTGTATCCCGCATTTGCCATCATTTTTGGTGAATTTTATGCCGCACTCGCGGAAGAGAACCCCGAGGATGCACTCAGTCGCACCGCAGTGCTCTCGTGGGCGTGCCTGGGCCTCGCCTTTGTCACGGGACTCGTGTGCTTCCTCCAGACGTATCTGTTCAATTACGCGGGCATCTGGCTGACGACGCGAATGCGGGCCATGACCTTCAGGGCAATGGTCAGCCAAGAGGTCGGTTGGTTCGACGACGAAGACAACTCCGTGGGCGCCCTGTCCGCTCGATTGTCGGGTGAGGCAGCGGGCGTGCAGGGTGCCATTGGGTATCCGCTGAGTGGCATGATTCAGGCCCTGTCCAACTTCATTTCGAGCGTCACCGTCGCCATGTACTACAACTGGAAGCTGGCGCTCCTCTGCCTTGCCAATTGTCCGATAATCATCGGTTCTGTCATCCTGGAAGCCAAGTAAATGTCTAATTTATTCATTGATTCATGAGTTAGTTATTCGCTCTATTCATTCTCTAGAATGATGTCCAATGCCATCGTGAGGGAGAAACAAGTCATTGAGGAGGCCTGTCGCATTGCCACCGAATCCATCACGAATATCCGCACTGTGGCAGGACTACGACGGGAGGCGGATGTCATTCGGGAGTACACGCAGGAGATCCACCGCGTGGAGGGACTCATTAAACAGAAGCTGCGCTGGCGGGGCGTCCTCAACTCCACGATGCAGGCATCCGCATTCTTTGCCTACGCGGTGGCCCTCTGCTACGGCGGCGTCTTGGTCTCCGAAGGACAGCTGCCCTTCCAGGACATCATCAAGTTAGGGCATCCCCCCCTCCATCCCTTAGAGAACTTCTACAGTTTCAACCTCCCTCTCTTTCCCTTTGCAGAGTCTCGGAAACTCTTCTCTATGGCTCAATGATGCTCGCCCAATCGCTGGCTTTTACACCCGCCTTCTCGGCGGCCCTCGTGGCGGGTCATCGCCTCTTCCAGATCCTCGATCGCAGGCCCAGGATCGTCTCGCCCATGGGCACCATCCGGAACACCCTTGCCAAGCAATTGAATCTGTTCGAGGGTGTGCGCTATCGCGGCATTGAGTTCCGCTATCCCACGCGTCCCGATGCCCAGATTCTGCAAGGATTGGATCTGGAGGTGCTCAAGGGTCAAACGGTGGCACTGGTGGGCCACTCCGGCTGTGGCAAGTCCACCTGCGTGCAGCTGCTGCAACGCTACTACGATCCGGATGAGGGATCCATTGTAAGGGCGCATCCATCCATCCTTTAGCTGCTCAATCTGCTCACTCTACAGATACTTTTTCCAGCACATCGATCACGATAATATCCAACATGATCTTACCCTCGAGGGTGTACGCTCCCGTCTTGGCATCGTCTCCCAGGAGCCCACCCTCTTCGAACGTTCCATCGCGGAGAACATTGCCTACGGCGACAATCGTCGCTCTGTCTCCATGGCGGAGGTCATGGCCGCCGCCAAGAGCGCCAATGCCCACAGTTTCATCATCTCTCTGCCCAATGGCTACGACACACGGATGGGGGCACGTGGCACTCAGCTGTCGGGCGGGCAGAAGCAACGCATTGCCATTGCCCGTGCTCTGGTGCGGAATCCCAAGATTCTGCTGCTGGATGAGGCAACCTCTGCCTTGGATTTGCAGAGCGAACAACTGGTGCAGCAGGCCCTCGATTCTGCGTGCAGCGGTCGCACATGCATTGTCATTGCCCATCGTCTGTCGACCGTTCAGAATGCAGATTGCATTTGTGTGGTGCAAGACGGTCAAGTGGTGGAGCAGGGCACCCATCTGGAGCTCATTTCGCAGGGTGGAATCTACGCGAAGCTGCACAAAACCCAAAAGGACCATTGAAGAGAGGAAGCGTATATATTTAATGAAATTTGTATCCAACAAAAATATCCAAGAGATTCACATACACATTCGCGTATCGCGTATCGTTCCAGACTTCCATCTGAAATCTGAATAAAAATCACACCTTTTTTCCACACGAAACCCAAACAACCTTGTTTTATCTTTTGGCTTAAATAATACGAGGGTAGTTATCTATATATTCCCTACGATAAGTGGGGAATCTTTAGTGATCTTTATGGTTTAGTTTTCCCATCAAAGGGGAGTGCAGTGCACTGTATGGCGGAGTATCATGGTCAATGGCAATTTTAATCTTAGTTATATAGACATGTAAAACCATTAACAAACGTACAAACGAGGCGCTGCGTTGCGTTCCATAAAATACAATTTGATAAAAAAAAAAAAGACAGTAGAGATCCTAACCAAAAGACAAAAATGGAATGCAAATTCTGTGACCTATTTCCAACGATTTAAATATATTATATATATAATATGTATATTTTGGAATGGGGGTAGTGCCACCTTATGGCACATGGCATGAGGAATGAGAAGGAAAACCTTGGGGCTTGCTGCTGCTAAAAATCAATTCAGAAATTCAATTGAAATTAATAGAAAGAGCCGAGAAACAGCCGATACGTACCGCAGAACCGTATTGTATTGTAGGTTCTACGATCTTTTTCCGCATTTGTACAATTAATAGAAGAAAAACCTTACAAACGACGAAAACTGACGGCATCGCCTCTGGGGACAGGCAACAGTTGTATTCTGCACTTCAAACGGAACGGAACGGAGCGGAGCAGACTCGGTCGCAGCAGCACTCCAAAAGATCTGGAAGCTGGGGATATCTCGGGAATCCGAATACTTGTGTGTGTGTGTGTGTCTGTGTGTGTGGAATGCAAAACAATTAAAATCAGTCTCCCACCCCCCCACCGCTCCAAGGCGCAGAGATCGGTTTTGGGTTGCATCTGGCGGCGGCAGTGGAGTTAATTAGCCAAAGCCAAGAAACTCATTGAAGTTCCATTAAACAAATTGCGGGTAGCCCACAAAACGGTGCGGAGTGAAGGGTGTTTCAATATTTGGTTTCATTTTGTGACATTCAACCGATTCTTAACTATTAATTGACCTCCCCAGGAGGGGTCAATAGATACAAAGATAGATTCTGTTTGCTCGTTTGGTGCAAAGAAAGCAGTCGACAGATGTCACAGAAAGACATGGCTGACAACATGAATGCTGCCCAGCCACAGGAGGAGGAGGATTGCTCCTCCGCCACCACCACAACGAAGAAGGGCAAGGGAAAGGGAAAGGGAAAAAAGGCCAAAAAGGAAGCCCATCCAATGGTCAGCTATACGCAACTCTTTCGCTACATCCAGCCTTGGGATTATGTGCTCTTCGTGTCCGCTTTGATAGCAGCCCTGCTGCAATCTCTGGTCTATCCGATTGCCATTGTGGTGTACAGCGAATTGGTGGCCATGTTCATTGATCGCACACTGGGGCAGGGCACGAGCTCCATTACCATCGGACTGTCGCTCTTTGGTGGCGGAAAGGTGCTGTAAGTAGGATCCAAGCCCATTGATCCATTCGAATCTTGAGTTTAGGATTTCCCATTCGTTTTTTGTAGCACCAATGCCACGTACGAGGAGAATATGCAGGAACTGCGCAAGGATAGCGTCTCCTTTGGCATTCTCATGACCTTGAACACCCTCTTGATGCTCTTCTCTGGCATGTACTATGTGGATGCCTTCAATCGTCTCGCTCTGAGGCTCACCGTGCGCATGAGGCGGGAGTTCTTCAAGGCCACTCTGAGGCAGGAGATTGGCTGGCATGACATGGCCAAGGATCAGAACTTTGCCGTACGCATAACAGAGTAAGCAGGGGAAGAATCCTTAGAGGATAATTAATGATGATTTGCCCCTTTGGCAGCAACATGGAAAAGATACGCAGTGGCATTGCCGAGAATCTGGGCCACTATGTGGAGATCCTGTGCGAGGTGCTCATCAGCGTAGTCCTGTCCTTTGTCTATGGCTGGAAGTTGGCTCTGTCGATTGTCTTTTACATACCCCTTACCCTGGTGGTTAACTCGCTGGTGGCACATGTAAGTGGGATGGGATTAATTGTGGATTAATGGTACTCTCTCTCAATCTTCCTTTCTCTTTACTTTCCACGTTCTAGTACCAAGGCAAACTCACAGCAAAGGAGCAAAGCTCCTACGTGCGTGCCAGTTCTGTTGTGGAGGAAGTTATTGGCGCCATTCGCACGGTGGTGGCGTTTGGGGGCGAGAAAAGCGAATCCGTGCGCTATGACAACCTGCTGAAGCCCGCTCTGAAGGCGGGAAAGTGGAAGGGCGCCTTCTCGGGCCTCAGCGACACTGTGATGAAGGCCATGATGTTCATTACAGGTGCAGGCTCCTTCTGGTATGGCGCCAATCTGATTCTATACTACAGGGATCCCGCAATTCCCATCGAGGAGCGCGCGTACACGCCGGCGGTGGTGATGATTGTCATTTCAGGCATCATCGTGAGCGCCAATCAAATCTCCCGCACCTCCCCCTTCCTGGAGACGTTCGCCATGGCCCGGGGATCGGCGGCGGCCATCTACGAGGTCATCGATCGACGATCCAAGATTGATCCGCTCTCCAAGGCGGGCAAAATCCTCAACTATGGGCTGAAGGGCGCCGTGGAGTTTCGTGATGTGTTCTTTCGGTATCCTGCGCGGGAGGATGTCATCGTCCTGCGGGGACTCAATGTCGTCGTGGAGGAGGGGCAGACGGTGGCTTTCGTTGGCCCTTCGGGCTGTGGCAAGTCCACGTGCATCCAGCTGCTGCAGCGCTTCTACGATCCCATCTTCGGGCAGGTGCTGCTCGATGGCGAGGATGTCCGCAAGTACAACATCCAGTGGCTGCGCTCCAACATCGCGGTGGTGGGCCAGGAGCCGGTGCTCTTTCAGGGCTCCATCGGGGAGAATATCCGCCACGGGAAGCCAGAGGCCACCCAAAAGGAGGTGGAGGATGCCGCCAAAGCGTCCAATGCCCATGACTTCATTGTGGCACTCCACAAGGTAGAAGCCCATAATGGAATCCCATAGAGAAACATCCTTAAATTCCTCCTTCTTGTTCCTAGGGCTACGACACAAACATCAGCGAAAAGGGCATCCAGCTGTCGGGCGGACAGCGGCAGCGCATTGCTATCGCACGGGCCCTCATCCAGCAGCCAAAGATCCTGCTGCTGGATGAGGCCACATCCGCCTTGGACTACCACTCGGAGAAGCTCGTGCAGGAGGCCCTCGATAAGGCCTGCAAGGGACGCACCACTCTGGTGGTCTCCCATCGCCTCTCTGCCATCCGCCACGCCCATCGCATTGTGTACATAGAGGCGGGCAAGGCCGCGGAGCAGGGCACACACGAGGAGCTAATGAAAATGGAAGGATTCTATCATAAAATGGTCACCGTACACTCGTACGATGATTCGGCCGAGGAATTGCTCAACGAAATGGAAGAGGAGGCGGCGGCCATCCCGAAGAAGGAGCGAAAGATCTCCACCTACGATGTGGATGTGCCATCAGCGCTGGAGAAGAATGCCGCCGCCTCCCAGGAGCACTTCCAGATGAAGCATCTGAATGGGACGGCGCCAAAAAACGCGCAACAGGAGGATGTGGAGCCACAGGATCCTGCAACGGGTGGGAATTACATTCGCACCTTTTTCCGCATCGTCGTTTCCGCTCGGCCCGAGTGGAGTTTCCTCATCATTGGCGCCATCTGTGCGGGCATCTTTGGCGTCACGATGCCCGTCTTCTCCATTATCCTAGCGGAACTCTATGGATCGCTGGCGAAGCCCACAGCTGAGGAGGTTCTCGATCAGAGCTCCTCCATGGCCATCATTTCCCTTGTGATTGGCATTGCCGCTGGCATCGTTTGCTTCATTCAAACGTTTTTCTTCAATCTGGCGGGGGTTTGGCTCACAATGAGAATGCGGTGAGTCCTTGGTGGAGTAGTATCCATCCACCTATAGCTGTGGCTACATCTCTAGAATCTGTTTGCTTTTGCAGCTCCAAAACATTCCGCAGCATCATGCACCAGGAGATGGGCTGGTTCGATCGCAAGGACAACAGCATTGGTGCCCTCTCCGCGCGACTTTCGGGCGATGCTGCCAGTGTCCAGGGCGCCATTGGTTTCCCGCTCAGCAACATCATCCAGGCCCTGACGAATTTCATCTGCAGCATTGCCATCGCTTTTCCCTACTCCTGGGAACTGGCTCTGATCTGCTTGAGCACGGCGCCCTTCATGATTGCCTCCATTGTGTTCGAGGCTCGTTTTGGCGAGAAGTCAGCGCTAAAGGAGAAGGATGTCCTGGAGGAGACGAGTCGCATTGCCACGGAGACGATTGCACAGATCAGAACTGTCGCCGGACTGCGTCGCGAGGAGGCGCTCATTCGGATCTACGACCAGGAGGTGGAACGCTATCGCGTGCAGATCCTGAATCGACTGAAATGGCGAGGACTCGTCAATTCTATGGGCAAATCTCTCATGTTCTTTGGATATGCGGTGACCCTGACCTACGGCGGACACATATGCGCCGATGGCAAGATCAAATTCGAGACGATTATGAAGTGAGTTTGCAGGGTACTCCCCCCTCGTCACATTCCTTAAGCTTTTCTCCCCCCCCCCCCTAAAGGATCTCCAATACCATGCTCTATGGCCTGTTTATCCTCGCCCAATCGCTGGCCTTCACACCCGCCTTCAATGCGGCTCTCCTCTCCGCCAATCGCATGTACGAAATCATCGATCGCAGGCCGCAGATCCAGTCCCCAGAACAGTCGGCGATTGCAGGATCCCTGCTGCAGAATGGCAATGGATCGCTGCACAAGACAAATGTCGGGGTGCAGCAGGGCGTCTGCTATCGTGGCCTCCAATTTGCGTATCCCTCGAGGCCGCATCTCAAGGTACTGCAGGACTTTAATCTGGAGATACAACAGGGACAAACGGTGGCCCTTGTGGGTGCCTCGGGATCGGGCAAATCCACCTGCGTGCAGCTCCTTTTGCGCTACTACGATCCCGATCATGGCAAGATTGTACGTATCCGTCAGATACATCCCTTGGCCTTACATTAAGATCCTCTTTTGCTGTAGCTGATTGATCAGGAGAGCATCCATCAGGACATGGAGCTGAAGACGCTCCGTCGCCGCCTCGGACTCGTCTCGCAGGAGCCGTCGCTCTTCGAGAAATCCATCGCCGAGAACATTGGCTATGGGGACACCACCCGCAAGATTCCCATGCAGCAGATCATCGATGCCGCCAAGATGGCCAATGCCCATGAGTTTATCATGTCTCTGCCCGCCCAGTACGACACTGTTCTGGGGTCAAAGGGCACCCAGCTGTCGGGTGGACAGAAGCAACGCATTGCCATTGCCCGGGCGATGGTTAGGAATCCCAAGATCCTGCTTCTGGATGAGGCAACCTCTGCACTTGACTTTCAAAGTGAAAGGGTAAGAGTTTACCGTCCCCTAAAAATAAACTTTATTGATACATTTTGCTATTTGTCGTAGGTGGTGCAACAGGCCCTCGATTCCGCATGTAGCGGACGCACTTGCATTGTGATTGCCCATCGTTTGTCCACCATTCAAAATGCGAGCGTCATTTGTGTGATTCAAGCGGGACGCATTGTGGAGCAGGGCTCCCATTCGCAGCTGCTGGCCAAGAATGGCATCTACTCAAAGCTGTATCGCAGCCAGACGAAAGCTTCGTGAAGCACACCATTTTTATGCACACAAGTATGCAGCAGTCAACAGAGAGAATTCTACTTTTTCTTAGCCGCTAGCACGGACTCAAACCACAAAAGCCAAAAAAATGTATTAAATGTTTTTCTAATAAAGTTCAATCGCTTTCAATGTTATTGATGTGGATGTGCATTAACGCCCTCAAAATTCAAGCAAAATTTAATTTTCTTCAGTGGAAAATAAATTAGAATGAAAGTACCGCTCGACAGTAGCAAAATTTTTGGAAAATTGATGTTTTATGTCCAAAGAGACTTTGAATTTTAAATAAAAAAAATAAAGGGGTCTTAATAGGTGTCGAAATAGTAACTAAAAATCTGCGCAGGAAAGAGTGAAACGAAGTAAGAAGAAAAGGCATGTGATAGTAGGCCTTGAGACTATACAATACCCTCGTATGAAAATATTCCCCATCTAAGGAACCTTGAAAATATTTCTATCACAGTTAGATTCTTGTTTCAGATCCCAGGCAGTCTGCCTCGGGGTTTCAACCGAGAAAAATATACAAAAAAAAAATACTAATCTAATCAGAGAAAAATTTATAAAAATCGTGAACAAAAATTATAATAAAAAATCAAAAGCCGAAATCAAAAAAATTATTTTAATTGGAGTATACTAATTTTGGATAATAAAACTTCATTTCTTTACGCAACAAATGCCTTCAGTGTGCCATCAAGTATCCTACAGCAGCGACCAGGATGAAAAGGGGAAGTGAAATGTTACGTGTTGAATGTTCAGTCTCTTGTTCCCTCTGAAGGAGTACGTCTGTGACGATAATGTGGGATTCCCTGGAGTAACTGAGCTATAAATGGCCATGGTCGAGTTGCGGACGCATGTCACATTTGCAGGGAGAATTCGTTTCCAACGCTGATTGTTGTACATTTTGGTGTGTCTTCGATGGAGCGATGGAGCGACGCACAACAAGAAGATCCTTTCTTATTCACTCCCAAATGAATTTGAAATTAGTGCTGCTTTGGCATAGCGCGTCTTCTAGAGATTCCAGCGGACTACAAAACTTCCTTTAAACTAGAGAGATATGTAAGTTTTACCCTGAACGTTCTCTCTTTTTGGGTGAAATTAAACAACTTCTGAACAATTTCGATTCGATTTTAGATTCGTTTTCCAGCTCCCAAACATAGGAAGACAGACTGACTTCCCGCCTCTGCCTTCTGTTGAAACTACATAAAAAAATATACATTTCGGTAAAATATTTTCATTCTTCTACCAGTTTTCGTACGAAAAGTAAAAGTTTCCTAATTTCTTAATTATAGTTTCCCCATCGATGCCTGCGACGCGATTTCACTCTGCCTTTGAAGTAGCTTGAAAATAAATCCAGCGATCAGAAGGATGTAGCAAATGAATCAGTGGCATGCTGCCACGGTTGTGAAATTAGTAGTATGTCAAGCTATACCAAAGCAGGACAATTTCAAACTCTTTGGCGAGTGCCAGAGGAAATTTGTTCTTCTATATGTGCCCCGTATCTCGCGCTGCATTGCATTGCACCAAAATGTCCAGCAACCAAATGTGGGAGGCCACTTCTTTCTTTCAATTGATAAACTAGTGAATCACGTGCTGGTTACAACCCGAATAACTCGTAGGACTCCTCATCGTCGTCACCTACGTCCTCCTTAAGGTGGAGCAGCAGATCAAGCAGCGACCAACGTCCTCGTGGTCTTCTTCTGTATCGACAATTTATTGGCATATTCAAATAAACTTCTAAATACTTTTAGAAATACCTCGCATAAGGATTCCCTTCCGGCTTCTCATAGTATTTGCAGCCCGAGAGTTGCACTACCTCCTCCCGTCCGTACAAGAGAGTCACAAAAAAGCATTTTGTGAAAGTCAAAAAGTAGGAGACAAATACAAAAAAAAAAAATCTTGCCCATGGTACTCGTACAAAGAGATCAAAAAGAATTAACGAATCGAGACTGAGAGCGAGAAAGAGAGACAATAGAGATATTTAATACTCATTAAAAATTATCGCTTTATGGCATTGCCCTTGCTTATCTGGAACTCAAGGAGGGGATTTTGAGTGCGTTTTAAGTGGATTCATGCAGAATTTATAATCTGAAGATAATCCTAAAGCTCAATTTATACCCTAAGATACTTCTATGAATCAATCCGGCCCATAATTTCTATATATTCCGTAGATCATTCGCTATCTTTAATAATCTGATAAGTTTCTTTATCTATTTGCCAGTATTAAGCTGTAGCGCACGAACTGGTTAACCCATGCGACAATCTTATCACTTTTAATTGTTATCTATTTGCTCAGTTTAATTGTCGCTATAAATTTTGTTGGCGCAGTGCGCTCTAAACTTTTGCCATCGGCGGTTGGTACCCACAATGCAGACCACCGTAATGATGTATCTCCTCTTTCTGGGTGAGTATCTCATGAATAAAAGTCTCTTTTAACCGTAATTCAATGCAATTTTTACAGTGTGTGCATTTCTGTACATTTCCACATGCATTTCCACATCCATTTCAAATCCCTGTCCATTGGAGAAGAGTTGCAATCAAACTGTGGTGGAATCAAGTGCCATTTGTGGCTTGGATGAGGACGTGGGTTGCATACGAAAGTATGCCTCAAAGTGCCTCATGGATATTGCTGAATGTCAGGAGGGAAAAGGTAAGTGAAATGAATGAAGTTTTCTTTAAGTTCTAATGGTTAAACGATCGATGTCCTTAGAATTCACGGATTATAGCAATGTCTATTGCTCAATGGAATCGTATCTGTGCGAACAGACATCCACATACGAAAGATGGACCATTTTCTTTGGTCACGAAAAGGATTAATCAATAGATATGTTTCTTAATGTTTAATCAATTATTTCTTTGCTATAAAATTGTCCTTAAGAAATTCCTTCAACCGTAAAGTATTATTTATCATCTAAGAGACCAAGAAAATTATTTGAATATTTAAGAATTAGCAAGAAAATTCTCTGTCCCTTCTCCCTGTGTTTAAGGCTCTGGACTACCCTTTCTTTAGCAACGTCACAAAATTAAATCATTAAACTTTAAATCCCCCTAAGATCTCTCGAGCGAAAGGGCATGGGAATGGCACACTTTTATCTTATCTTTTACCAACAAATGAGGCAATGAAATATGAAACTCTACACAAACATTCGTCGTCGGTGTCGTCTAGCAAATTAGCCAGCGATTAAATCAATAATTAATCAATCCACGAACAAGCTCAACGTTCACGTGCCCCCGAATGAATCGACGACGTCAAAGACCGGTAGGAGATCGAACGGCAACGGAGGCAACTGATGCCCCCAGGCGTATTTCCCCACCTCGAATATGGGGGGAGGGAGACATACAGACAGACAGACAGAATGCCGCCGCCTCGAGCCTTTTATTCTCTGCTTCTTTTTTTTTGTTTTGTCTTTATTTTCGGCAGATACTTTGCATAATCTCCCGCACGACGACAGCAGACAGTCGAGGGCGACCGTCCATCGATTGGTCTCCTCCTTCAACACCAATCAGCGCAGAGCAGAGCATTTCTGTCGTGATTTTTTCTGTTTTATATAAAATGGGAAGGCATCCGTATTTCTTCCATCAGTTAATGCCACAGATTCAACGTATCCAGAGATCAATCACATATCATGAAGAGCAGCAGCAGCAGCGTTCCGTTTAAATTCTACTTCTTCTGTGGACTTTTATTACTCTTCGGTTAGTGTTTCACATTTAGTGTTGTTTATTTGACAATTATCAATGTACTTTTGCAGCAATGTGCAGCAGTTTATGTGCGGGAATGGTGATGGGCCCAAGACCCACTGGAAAATCCACAGAACAACTCTCCCACCAGCAGCAGCTCGAGGAAATCTATTGGCAAACACCCGCAGTACCGGACGAACGATTGGCGGATGCAGAAGTGGATAATGCTTACGAATTGTTCAATTTACGGCCTAAACCTACAACCTCAAACCGCATTCAGAATCTATAGATACGTTTTAGCTATTTTTACATAGATTTCGTGTTAATTATGGTTATGGCTATATGTGTTTAGATTTAACTTTAAATTTATAAATAATAAAAACAGACATTATTTTGGTGAAACGTGCGCATTGCTGGCTTTTCATTCCATCACGTATGTCATCATCCGGCGACACTTCCGAGCCACAAATCTCTTTATAAAGTTCCACTCTTTTGTAGCAATCGATTCATTCTGTTGTGAAAATCCCAGTGGAAGGGGCATTCGATTCAATCTGTTCTCAAAATCAAGTGAAAGATCAAGAAAAATGCATTCATCACATATCTTGGCGATATTCCTTATCTTCTGTGTCACAATTTTCATAGGTAAGTGCCAAAAATAAACCTGTATATATACTCTTTAATCTTCGAACTCCCCTCTCAAAGGCAATGCCTTTCCCCACGGCAAATTTAGTGACGAGGACGATGATCGCTTCAACGAAATCAGCGGCGAGTGGGGGGGGAACCGAAAGCTAGTCTTCCCACGACTCGATCGTCTCTTCAGCAGCGCCGAAGTGCCGTCGGGAAATCTAAAGAAGATCAAAATCTCCTCTAAAATCAAAAGAAATAATGACAGCACTTCCGCCTCTGGAGACACCACAGAGAGCTCCAAGCACGCCCATTCGATGATCACATCGATGCTGACATTCGTGAGCAGCGTCATGAACTTTGGCAGGTCCTTCATCAAGGATCAGTAATGCTAGGACATAAATGTGATATTTCTCTTTACACTTTATGGTTTAAAATCTCGTGAATCTTGAATGCCAAAATGATAATTATATCTGCTGTATTTAAAAAAATAAATTAAATTTTAAAAATAAATATAAAAATATAAAATATAAATATTTATTGTCAAGAGTTTTCCCATTAAGAAATAATTTAATCAAACATTTTTTGAGTAAAATCTGAGGAAAATCGGGGCGTTTTACCCGCTAAATTTATGGAAAAATACCTCCTAGAGATCTTTGAGTTCATGAAGACTCCTCTAGGTCTCTACTCCAATAAAAATCTATGACGTTTCTCTGTTTCTCGTTCAATTTATGTATTAACATCCAAGTCTCGTGAACCCAAATACTAATATATCATTGTTAAAAGACCATAACAATAGATATATATAATTATACAACATACCATAAGAAATCTCCATCAAAAATCAATGCGTCTTCATTTATTGATACATTTTTAAATTAAAATCACGTGAATCTCTTGATATCTCTGTCTATACAACATCTCAATAAATATTTGGAAAATTTTCTCGAAATTAAATAAAAAATCTATGACGTCCTCACTTCTAGCTCATAGTTTGGAGCAACGACTCGTGCTATAGAAATCATTGCTATACAAAAATACACAACATTTAAATACACCTTGAATACATTAAATATGACGTCTTTAAATGTTGACGCCTCCGACTAAACATGCGATATTTGACCCATCTTTTGTGTGAAAACTAAAAAAAATATACTATTATTAGGCGAGAGAGTATGCTATAAAAAAAAGTATCAATCATTTTAATGATCAATGAATGAATTAATGCGAAGTGTGGCTCGTGGTTCGATGGGACGGTCTCTGTGAATGACGTCTCTATCTGTCGCGACCAAGCCCCCCTTTTCACCCTCTGAATGCCCCCAATGTCAGACATCGAAAAACGGGGATTTTTTCGCTACTTAATTTCGTGAAATCCATAGTTTTTGCTGGCTTCTAAGATGCTTATGAGTGACGTCGCGACAGACGACGCGATCAAATGCTAATTTGTCATGATATCTGTTTTATTTATGCTTGTTTTATTTATTTTGCACCTTCTTTTTTGGCATTGTTTTAGCCCGGATTTAATTGTAAATACTGTGTGCCTGTCGACTGTTGTTTGTACAATCAGTCATAACGAGATCTGAGTTATCTAAAGAGAAACAGAGAGAGAGAGACCTCGTTATGCATAGACCTGTTTCACGCTGTTAATTTCTGGGGTTTCTTTTTGGTGTTTTATAGGGGGGAATATCCAAAGCTCAGGCACTATTTGGTGTATCTCTAGCGTGTAATTCATTAGAACAGTTTTTAAGTTCCACTCGAACGAATGCAATATAATTAACAGGAAATTAAAAATATCTTTTGGATTTCTACGATTGCGCAAATACCTCTGCAGCTCTGAAGGTCAGCGAATGCGCCATTCTATTGCATGACTACTACTGTGCCGTTACCCCCGAAATGAGTTTGAATTATCAAAGTGTAGGTGTGGGTGGAATTGGTATTTTTTATTTATGGATTCCATAACAAAAGACTTGATTGAGCCACAAACTGGCACTCCAAAAACAAAAATAAACGGAAGAATTTCAACACGATCTTTCTATGTCCGCACTCCTTGGGGGTCAATTGACCTCCAGCAAATGATATTTAAACATTTTGTTGAGGGATGTCATGTTCTGGGACAGCTCATGGCATACGCGCGCCACGCATCCTTCGCGGGCAAGAGCAGCCACAGCAGCAGGAGCGCACAGGAGGACACATGCAAATAGACAAAGATTGTGGTTGTTGAATATCTTCTGACTTTTGTGTGTGGACAACAACTCTCACTAACCCACTAGATACTTAATCACTTTCAGCAGTACCATGGCGGACAACGAAGGAGAACAGCTGCGGTTCCATGCACCACACGCGACGAGATTTAGAACCAAATTGAACACCAATCCGAACATGCAATCGCGAATAAGTGAAAACTCGTCCGAGTAAGCGGCGACGCAGACGTCAACGTGAACGCTGACAGCACTGCCACAGTGGAACGAATATGATGGCAAGGTCCGAGCCCTTTAAAAGCCGTAAATGAATTCAAAGGTTCTAAAAAAAACACTCCCTAGATGACGAACGATTGGCAGACGCAGAACTGGATAATGCCCCCGGAAGGAGATCCCTGCTACTATATTGGCAGTTTGTGTTTTGTATATGGAATGGAAATAAAATGTTGATAAAAATAAAATTCACTTACCACTTACAATGGTTTTCAGCCACATTTTTGTCCCACTGTGCACTGCGGTTGTGTGTGTGGGACAGGCTAAATCAAGAACTTCTTGTTGGATGTTGTAATCGCGGCGATTTTTTCCGACCAGACTAGTAATGTTTTTCATATAACCGAATATTTCCATATAGTTTTTTCGACAGAGTTCATTTGCGTGCATTGCAACAACAGCAACAATAACAACAGCGGAAAGAGCAAGAGAAACGGTAAACGTGGCGTCGCTGCGAATTACGTCATAAGAACTCGTTTACAGAGACGTCGCTGCTGCTGCTGCTGCTGTTCCACGGACCGACGATTGGGGCCAAAAACAACTCGCTCTGACACTCACGGCAGCGCCAGTCTTGATCAATGCAGTTATTTTTGTCATTGCGATTTGATCGCCCCGTGGCAAGTCAAACCACCAAGAGGCTAGGCAAGCTGCCCCCAAAAAAGAGCCCATGCTGTCAACAAGTGGCAATTGGCGTTGCTTATTCTGCCGACGCTGGCAGCGATGGCAACGCTTTGGTCATGAATCTCGCACAATTTTTTAGTTCTGATCGTGATTTTCAAATGCTTGCAGCGCAGCAGCTGCGCGACTGCCGCTGCTGGCTGGTTTCCTCTGCATTTGGCTTTATTTAATCGGTATAGCAATAAACTTCAACATTTTGTTGATGGTTGGGCTGCAGTTTGTGTTTTTTCGGACAGGCTTCGACGAGTTTGTTTCGACTTCACCTTCGATTTCTTCGCGCACTTTTGCACACACACCCACATGTCATAACGGTGCCTGAGAATCGGGATAGGCAAAAATTCAGTACTTTCGGGGCGGCGCGCTGCATTTCGCTGATGTTTCTCTGTCTGTTGTGGCTTTTCTTTGCTCTGCTTTTTGTTCCTTTTTCTCCGGATTTTGGCGATGGTGGGCTAAACGAACGCGAATTTTATTTTGGTTTTAGACATGATTGAACATGTTTCAGCTGCATTATTTTCGCTTTCGATTTCTTTTACACACACATACACGGACACTTCTAACGGAACCCTGCGCGTGTCCGAGCATTGCGGGTGGCTATTGTGATAGATTGTAACACCACAAAAAAATAAAACAAATATTAAAAAAAACTGCTAAAAAGAAACTCGACTAGAGCTTACTTTTAATAATAAATTACTCTTCTTCATTTATTTTACACAAAATAAGAGACTTTTCGATACATACATTGACATTATAACGGGATCATAGACTAGCGGGGCCCAATCCGCTAGGCTATTTTTATTTATTAAAACACTTTTGGTATTATAACCTAGCGGGGCCCAATCCGCTAGGCTATTTCATTTATTAAAACACTTTCTGGCAGAACACACACACTAGCACTGACACTTGCACTGCTTCTATAACCTAGCGGGGCCCAATCCGCTAGACTACATATATCACTTAAATAAAACACTTTTGTTAGAAAACAAGATCGCTTTTTATTAGGAATTACTTTAGAATATGTATATTTATATTAACAAATATCTACGTACTTTTTTCGCAACTTTTAAGTCTATTGCGCAGTTCTTTTAACACAACACACACACTGACACTTTTTGCACTGCTTTAATAACCTAGCGGGGCCCAATCCGCTAGGCTATTTCATTTATTAAAACACTTTCTGGCAGAACACACACACTAGCACTGACACTTGCACTGCTTCTATAACCTAGCGGGGCCCAATCCGCTAGACTACATATATCACTTAAATAAAACACTTTTGTTAGAAAACAAGATCGCTTTTTATTAGGAATTACTTTAGAATATGTATATTTATATTAACAAATATCTACGTACTTTTTTCGCAACTTTTAAGTCTATTGCGCAGTACTTTTTACAGAACACACACTGCACTGCTTTAATAACCTAGCGGGGCCCAATCCGCTAGGCTATTTCACTAAATTAAAACACTTTTGGTAGAAAACAAGATCGCTTTTTATTAGGAATTACTTTAGAATATGTATATTTATATTAACAAATATCCACGTACTTTTTTTCGCAACTTTTAAGTCTATTGCGCAGTTCTTTTAACACAACACACACACTGACACTTGTTGCACTGCTTTAATAACCTAGCGGGGCCCAATCCGCTAGGCTATTTCACTAAATTAAAACACTTTCTGCCAGAAAACACACACACTGACACTTGCACTGGATTATAACCTAGCGGTGCCCAATCCGCTAGGCTATTTCACTAAATTAAAACACTTTCTGCCAGAACACACAACACTTACACTTGCACTGCTTTTATAACCTAGCGGGGCCCATTCCGCTAGGCTATTTCACAATTACCCATTTCTGGCACAACACACGACTAAAAAACGCGACAAAACAATACTTTGAATTAGGAAGAGCTTTAGATCATTTATTCACGCACTTTTCTAATTGTCTGATTTGTTTAACGATCGCGAGCCCGCCACCGCCAGTTTATTCACGCCGCTGCGTAGTTTCCGCCATGTTCCAAAAGGAGAGTGATGGACAATCAGTACCGAAACAGGGATGGGGTAATCTTATCGGTATTTTCTATACGATGTTAATGACATCTGCCATCGATATGGTATCGACTTAAAACACGCTTGCATAAAAACCGCGAACCAGGACGTGTTCGCGCTAAAGTTAGACAATTGCAGGCTAATTAACAATTAACAATACTTTTGTTGTAAATTAAAAGGCATACATTCTAGTATTGGCTAGCTTAATAGAACTTGTCAATAGTTAACTACATGTGCATAGTTTTTCCATTTTAATGGACTTTGAAGCGCAGTGGGACGCACGCACCGCACCCCTGCTGCGATGGATCTTTCTGTTGCACATAGTATTGGGCCAGCGAAATTGCATATTTATTACAGTTTGCTCAAATTAATACAATAATTCTAATGAGAATCTTTCTAGATATGCTGGTACTCGTCCATGCATAACCAAGCACCTTCAAAAATGGTAAAGACGCGGTGCAGCGTCTTGCCTGAGGCTCTGTCACTGGCATGGCATAGGCAGGAGGGAATCTAATATCGTACATCGATGGATGCCTTGGGATTATCTTATTTCATTGATCACCGGCAGCACATCGTAAATAGTTGCCGTAAGTGTGGAGATTCTGCACTAAGCATAGTATAAATTGAGCTGTAATTCCAGCAGTAGCCATAATTTGACCCAACGCCACAATTTGTTCCCATATCAAACGCTTGCTCAAAACCGCCATGCTCCTGGGCAGAGTATTCAACTGCAGAGAGCAAAATAAACAAAATGTTAACCTCCATTCACCAGCAGACAGAGACGACGCACCAGAGATCTGATTCCATTCCAAGCATTTCCTCAGAGCGAAAACCAGTTTCTCATTTGTTTGGCTTCGATTCCATTTTCCATTTCGTCTCCGGACCAGCCAGCCAGCCGGCCGGCGAATAACGAAGCACACAGCAAAGACGGAGAAAGAGAGCGAGAGACGATAAGCAAAAGTAAACAAACGGTGAGAGCAAAACAAAGGCTGACAAACAAAAAAAAAAAGACAGATTATTTTATGCTCCAAGGGGCCGCACAGCCGAAGATGAACGAGAGACGATCGGATCGGATGGGACACGAAGTGCGCCCAGCCAGCTGGTGCGAGAGATTAAGGTTTGGTTTCTGTTTGGGATCCCGGGTTCGGTCTCGAGGAAAACTTCTCGCTGCAGTGACATCACTTGCTCGCGAGGAGCCATCCAGTGCGGTTGGATGAGCTCTCTGAAATAAATACAAGAAATAAATCGAACCGAAAAACAAGATAAGAAAGTGAAAATCAACAAGAGTGAAACCGGAAGTTGGGGTCTGTGGAAAGGATTTCTGCTTATCGCCAGCCCTAAAATGGGCCAACCAGGGGCTGTTGGTGTGGCCCTGTGCCTGCTACTAGCGATAACCCAATGCCAGGCGGAGCTAACGCCTCCGTACTTCAATTTAGCCACTGGCCGCAAGATATTTGCCACTGCCACATGTGGCGAGGACACCGATGGACCCGAGCTCTACTGCAAGTTGGTGGGCGCCAATACGGAAAATGATCATATTGATTATTCGGTTATCCAGGGACAGGTTCGTACCAAAGGACCACGCCACCAACGCCCCAAAAGCAAAAAAGAATCTTCTTTTTTTCATGGGTATACATACAAGATACATATGTATCTATCGCGTGTGTGTGCCCCATGTGATGCACGTTGGTTGGATGCTCTAAAAATATCTTGGAACTGCTGGAAATCTTTGGATTTTTCTAACATGTGTTTTTTGTTCTGCCGTAGGTCTGCGATGTGTGTGATCCGAATGTGCCGGATAAGAATCATCCGCCAGAGAATGCAATCGATGGCACCGAGGCCTGGTGGCAGAGTCCGCCCTTGTCCCGTGGCATGAAATACAATGAAGTCGATTTGACCATCAATTTTGAACAGGTAAGGCCAACCAGCAGCACCAACAGCAGCAGAAGAAAACGCACAAAAGCAAGGATAGAAAGAGAGAGAGGAGGAGAGAGTGTGTGTTGGGTTGTGCGTGTTAATGCAACTTGTTTTTCGGGGTTTCAGGTTCTCCTTAGCTCTGTTCGTGTCTTGTCTCGTCTCGTAAAATTTGAAAACAATTTTTAATGGGCTTTCATTTCGACAACGTCAGCAGAAACCCCAGCAAAAGAGTCGGTCTCCAATGCCCATTGAAATATTTTGCTG